CCAAATACCCATCGGAGTTTTCGTTCTTTTTTGATTTTTCTCATTTTTTGAGCATTGGTCATTCTATTTTCACTATCGAAATAACCATTTAAAGATATAGTTTCACTCGAATTTTTATGTTTAATATCACAATAATCTCTCCTTTTTCCATTGTTATCAAGAAGAATAGTTTCTGGAAAATATTGAGAAAGAATGGAATGTAAAGTTTGTTCTTTATAATGATGAGAAATTGGAGCAGGATTACAATTATCATCAAGTGCCATGGTGATGGCGAGCATTAATGACATATTTGGACGGAAATAACAACCAAGTGGTTCAGTCATTTCACGATCTTCATATTCTTTAGGGTCTAAGTTTAATAAATATAATCAAGTTGAAAGTTAGAAAGTATTTAATCAGTGTATATATACATCTATACTGTATAGTTGCGTTATGAGCAGCGCGTCCCGAAATAACACGTATTGTGTATTAACATGCATTATTGGATTTGATATATGTATATGTATATCGTTAACCAATTATTTGAAATAATGCAGATGTCTCAAAATAATTTTAAAATAATAAATAATTTTACAAGTAGATAAAATAACGCATCAAAATATGCGAAATTTTTTCGCGACTATACTGTGTAAATTATAATGTTTAATTAAAAATATTTACCAGTCATCTTTATATTTTCACATTCTTTCCATTCAGGACTTTGTTCAAACCGCGTAAAAGAATGACCTTTCATTAATTGATAAACAGCTTCTTGAGCTTCATCAAACATATTTCTTTCCACTATACAATCATCCTCCAATGGCCAAGTGATATCTTTTCTTATCTCATCACTAAGATTAACTTGTAAAGGAGCATTTGAACCTATATAAGTTAAATAGATATATTTTGCATGAATGATGACACTTTGTTGATCTTCAAAGTAATTATCTTCTATATCACAAGTTCCAGCAGCGAAAAGTTCAATATCAAGCCAAAATAACAAATTTTCAACCGAAAATTCTCGAATGGAGAATTTTTGGAAATAATTTAAAGCAAGCAAATTAGAAAGGATAGATCTAAAATTAGATTGAGAACTTTGTGAAAGGGACAATGGATTTAA